AAGCATATCTGATATAGATGTTTAGTGTATGTCTAATAGATGCTTAATATAGACCTAGTACAGCCATTTCCATAAAAATGCATCACAATTTAAATCTAACTCTTGTTCTGAGGTTGTCTTTTTCATGTAGATAGTAGAAACTTAGAGACTCTTCATTCAGAATATTATGAACACACCTGTAAGGTATTTTGCAAGGTGAGGAAAAGAACATTTGCAGTGGTTTAGTGGAATAACATTACAAGGAGTACAAGCCATGCTGATGAGTAGGAAATGTGCTGCTTGGTTTCTTTATGAGGAGAAAGGATCAATGGTGGCATGCTAAGCAACAACACCAACACTTTTTTGGTACTTCAGCAGAAATATGAGATACACATCATTGATATGAGTGATAAATTGTAGTGGAAATAATGTGCAGTAGATCAGAGAATGAATGAGTGGGATGTGCCATCCTGTGAATTCAATACAGCTTGTAAAACAATTTGTGAGAAAACATAAGTTCAAACAGAGTTAGACTTGATTTTATTTTTTAACTCTGTGTTTATATGTAAATGTTCAGTATTTACTGTTTTTATTCCCAGATAAGTTTATGTTTATGAGACCTTTCTCTTACATACAGTATTTTGAGATTAAGCACAAATGGCAATAGAGAAGAAATTAAAAACAGAAATGGGCTTTTTCTAGTCTATTTTCACTAAGAAATAGACCACATAACCCCATAACCTAGTTTATATGTGTCCTTTCTGCTGGGTGTGAAGCCTGTTTTGAAGCCACCTAGAAGTGTATATTCCACTCTGCCAAAAGCCTGGGCAAGAACACGACATACGGGCAGCATCCAGGAGCCATTTCATATGCCCAGGTATGGAAAGGGGCATCTGAGCAGCCTTGGGAAATACCTTGGCCAGGAGAGTGCTGTGACAGGACAGAAGCTCCAGGAAAAACTGTGTTCTGCAAATGGGGTGGGTTTGTGTCACACTGCAGGTACAGACTGCCTGTATCCCAGCTAACAGTGGGTGGGCAAGACCACACTGAGGGGACCCCAGGCAGCTTGCAGCCTGGGATTGGAGCAGAATTTCAGCTGATGATGAAATGAAATCTGACTCGGGGTCACACTGTCAAATCCCCAGTTCTGCAATTAACTCATCATCTCACCTCCTTCCCACTTCCGCTGCCTTATTGTAACTTAAGTATCAGCAGCTACTACAAAGTGGCTACTGTATTATTTTGTGGATTTTTCTAAAGCATTGTAAAGACACATGTAAGATGAAAGGCATTAAATCTAAAATTTACCTTAGTTCTTAAATGCCACCTTCACAATTTTTATCATTCTGGTCATCACAGTACAGAGGAAGCATTGCTTGTAGATTTGGCCATAGAAGATGCCAACAATGTCCATAAAGAAAGAAGTTCAGCAAAGGTAGAGCTTATCTGGGCTGATGATGCCCTGCACAAAATTACACTTTAAATTATACTTTTCTTAGGCTGTGTCATCGTATGTCCCAGCATGCCCTGAGAGGTCAGCTCACTGGGCACTACTATAGCCTAAGGAGCCTCTTAGATGATGTCCTTGTCATCAGAGAAAAATCCTGCAGCTAATGCCAGGTGTGCATTACATTTGCAAAAGTATTTCTGGGGGCCATAGTCTTCAGTCAGTGCATGTTGCTAAGTAAGGGTAAATACATATCTGTAAAGGGAGTGATAGTCTGAAAGTACCTTGAGCTGTGTGTTCTGCTAATCTTCAGACAATTTTTGGTGGATGGAGAATATGCACAGAGTCTCCTACAAAACCCAGCATACAGAGAAATGAATATGTTCTTGCTTCTAATCCCAGCAGAAAACAGATAATCTCATTTTCAGGATGTAAATCCACTTCTTTAATGATTAAGCTTAGGTAGTGAGGGTTGTTTACTCTTTAAATTGTATTTATTTAAGATTTTAATTAAACCTGTTAATGAGTTGCAGACATGTGACTTGTTGGAAGTTAGGAAAGGGGAGAAAAATAGCACACAGCATCTTAGGAGATGACCCTGTATCAACTGCTCCTTTGAGAAAGCACAATTTTTTGACCATGTCACAAGGATCTCCTTCCTCAAAACTTGTGTCTAGCAAGGTGTGTCCCTCTGCTGACTCCCTGTGTGACTGTTAGCACCAGCAGACAGATAGATTTAGAAATAGCCCCCCAGCACAATGGTTTTGCTTTTGGTCATCTTATTCCCCAGCAATAGAGAGGCTCAGCAGGAAACACAGGAAAACACATGTTAAGACTGGGTCAGATGTTTGTGTTGAGGCTGGAAGCTGTAGTTACAAGCCCAGCAAGGTATGAAAGTTGAGAAGGTGCTCGTCAGTCCTCACCTGCTGTTTAACTGCACACCACTTGCAGGCATGTGGAGCTACGCCAGTTTGAGGTAGCTCTTATCTGGCTGGTAGTTGCTGGAAAGTAGCCCCATCACAGGCTTTTTGTACAGGCTGTTTCCTTCCTTTATCTGCCTAGTCTTGTTGGGTGTTGTCTAAGCAGCTGTGTTTTTCCTCAGACTGTCCCGAGAAGCTTTTAAGCTTTATAGTATGTTATGTATTATCATAAAACGTTGTACACAGGCCACTCATAGCACATTTACTCTTAGATTTAGAAAGAGTTTTCTCTGAACACAATAAGAGAAGAGGTAATAGCAATCCTAGAGGAGATTATTTTAGTAGACTTGAGTTTCAAGGTCCTGCTGCCTCCACCTCAGATTGTTTCAGTCTGTGGCTTCAAGAGTCTCAGCATCCTCCTGCCCTGAACTAATTTAGGAGCTAGGACCAAGGGTGGTGGCTTGCCATAGTAACTTTTGATAGTCATCCTAGTTTATCAGAAAGAACTGAATCAAACATGATTTATTTGTACCAAGGAGCTGAGTTAGCTGCAGAACCTATCCACCTGCAGTCTGTGCCATGCACTTCCTGCATGGCACTCCTCTTGGAGTCACAAGGACATCGAGTAAAGAATAAAGCCATGGTGCATTTCAGGAGCATTCATCTTGTGGCAGAGAAGGCATTCCAGACCACTGACTCTGATGGAATGATCAAGACAGAGATCTGCAAGTCCTAATGCTGTACACCCTGATCACATACTGGTTCGTGCCTCTTGAACCTGTAACTTGTTGGCAGCAAGAAAATATTTCAGTACCCTATAATATTTTGTAGATTTCTACTATTACACTTCTTCAAGGAAGTTAATGTGTAACTTATAGATGTTACACATTGTCCTTTTACACTTTAAAATGAAACATCCAAGAAACTGACACATCCTAGAAAACGTGTGTATACATATGAATGCCCTTTTAATTCTTTAAAAGCACTGATTTTTTTTAAGTTGCCTGTTCTTCTCCTGTTCTTTGACACTTCAGTGTGTGGCCCAGCCACACTCACTTTCCTATCACTTTATATACTTGTTTTCTATGCTTCAGATGCAAAGGAAGCTGAGAGCAAAAACCTCACCTACTGAAGGGAGGCAGGTGTGAGGGTGCCCAGAGAGCAGTGAACGTGGGGACAGCTGCAGCATGGGGGATGGCTTCAGTATGGGTTTCAGGGACCCCTGCAGCATGGGACCACTGCAACACACCTTTCGCACCTGTGTCAACCTGCCCTGCACAGGCTGCCACAGAAACTGGCACTCACGCCAGAAAGGCAGCTGCAAGTTGCTGGAGAAAAGACCTTAATTAAGAATTGCTCCTGCCCTTTCCACTCCTCTGCTCTTTTTTCATCCCTGCTTTATCAGTTATTACCAGTTAATGTTTCATTTTCTGGTTTTGTTTAACCGAAGCCAAGAAGTACCTCGTAGATAGCAACTGCCAATTAGTTATAATGAAAGCAGAAATTTAGCTTCCAGCTTGTCTGCATTTGGAGGGCTATAGCAGGAGTTAAATCAATTTCTTTCTTATCTTCTGAACTATTCTTGCCATGTGCATTTCTGGTTGCCAGGTGCTTCTGGGGTGAGCAGGCCCTGCTTTTCCTGTCTCTCTCTCCCTTCTTCCCTCTGATAAGGAGCTGCAGATAAGTGGGTGGATGGATGGATGGATGGATGGATGGATGGATGGATGGATGGATGGATGGAATGAACAAAGGAATAAACAAACGAGCTACCAGCTACTGACTCTGGGGGAGAAGCAGAAGTTAGTTATAATGTAGATCTCTCTGGAAATATATATATGCATTTCCATAAGACTAAAATTAATTAATGTTAATAGGAACTGTTTGAGAATAGCCCATCTAATTGTAGTCACTTGTATCTGAGAAGAATCCCCTGATCAGGAGATGCTTCAAAGATGACTTGTTTCAGACTCCTGGGTTTGGATGAGATGTTTTGTGTCCTGGAGGATCTTCTTTCTCTCCCCAGAGACTCAGGGGAGGAGCTGACATTGTCAAAATCTGCATTTGGTCAAGTGAATCCTCTTACTTTCCTGACTTTGTCTGTCTTCATGTTACATAGAGTTGAGCTGCAGCAGGGTGAAGGTAAGAGTGTGGACAGTAGTCTGCATCCACCCTTACTGGCTTACCTAGGCCCTAGCAGTGTCTCTGAGTAAAAGGCAGAAGCACTGGGTGCAGCAGAAATGTTACCTTACAGAAGATAGTAAAGAACTCCCACAGCAACTGCTGTCTTAAAAGTAGATGTTGGAAGCAGGATGAAAGAGGACAATGTAGAACTGTGTGCTTAATGCAGTGGTGCCACCCTGTTCTTTCTTTCCCCCAGACTTTTCTTTTGTTCCCAGATCTGGCATATGAAACTAGGTCAAGGCTCTTAGCCATACATATTTTAGAAGTACTAGTCACTCAGTGAGCATGACAAAACATATTGGCATGGAGGGTGGCTAGGGTTTACAGTTTTTTTCTCCACATAATGTGGAAATTCCATTCTATTTGGGATTAAACCGTGTTGTAGCTGTTTCTTGGGAAATGGCACTGCAGGTCTTTCATCTGTTTCCGCACTGATCTAGATGCAGTAGCATGTTCTTTTTTTCTCCCTGAAGAAGCCAGGTGCCAGCCAGAAGAGTGACAAAGTGTTGGGACTCCTCTGCAAACATGGCTACGGAGAAGTCACCCTTAGCGTCCTGCAGTGAGGAGGAGAAGGACAGCATCTGTGACAGGCAGCTCACAGTTCTTGATTGCCAAAATCAGTAACGATGACGCACATCTGGACAGAGTATGTGCTTCTGCCCTGGGAGGAAACCCTGCTCGCCCTGCTTGCTCTCAGCCTGCTAGTATCATTTACGGGTTGTGATGTAAAGCAGAGGAAATGGGGAGTGTGAATACCAATCTCACCCTGAAAAGGATCTGGTTTCCTCAGGTACGGTTTGTGCTTATCATTCTTGCACAAAAGTTATTAGGTCACAGCTGGTTAAACAAACCCTGCCTAATCATAATTTCCGTGCTTACAAAACAGAGTACTTAACCTTTCATTACTCCTTTCCACCCAAATCAAAGATCTAATTTTTGCATTCAATTTTACTTTGTTCTTTTTTCAGCATAAAATAAAAAGGAAGACATTAAAATCCTGTAAAACTCACTTGGAAAAGACCTGAACTTAATCTCTAAGATCAACTGATGTCTCTTATTTCAGAATGTACTAATTGCATATTGTGCTTCATCTACATGTATATGAAGATAAGAAATGGCATATTGTATATAAAACCAGGAAAATGTGTTATTCATGTAATAAATGGTTTTTTTTTACATTTCCTGCGTAAAAAGTGGGCTGCCCACTAGTAATTACACATCATATTTTAAAATAATGATGCAGATTTTTAATATGTGTCAGTTGCATTGCTCTGACTGTCTCCTGTCCCAGGCAGGAAAAGCACATTCCTGGAGGAAGAGACCCTGAATACCCTCAGTGCAGCAGCTCACATACTTGCTTTATAAATTAGATGATTTAAGAAGTTTCTTCCAAATTTCATTCAAATTCAGCAGGTTTTGAAGAGCAAACCTTTACCTTGTACTCTACACATCATAGCTAAATCATGTTATGTTTAAAATACACTTGCTTCAAATCTGAGAGATAAATCTTATGCTCAAGTAAACTAAAATAAAACAAAAAAAAAAGATATTTCTGGGAAGTGACAGGCACAAAGAAGCCTCAAAACAATATATACTTCTAGCTCCTTGCAATAATTCCTTCTAACCTCAAACATGCTCTGCTGTCTAAGTATGGACACACATTCCTTAACTTGTAGATAATGACTCACACGAACAAAGTGCTGGTCATGTACAAAACGCTTCAAGAGAAGGTCAGTATTTGTTAATGCTAGAAGAAAATTTGTTCTAGGCACTAAGCCATCCATGGCTTTTCACATGCATTAAAAAATGGTTTACAACTGGACACGGGGAAAAAACAATTACAGTGACAATCCGAACGCAGTCAGTGTGAGCCACAAATGAAGGGTTTTGTTGCAGCTACAAAAGACATGCCAAAGGAAGCATGGCATTGCTCTAACACAGCTCACTCCTCACCTTTCTCCTTGGCACCAGCCAGGTCATGGCCACCTCAGCCTGAATAAAAGGCTGCATTTACTGCTCTGCTTAGGGTTAGGGTTATGCTTAGGGTTAGGGTTAAGAAACCCACAAAGCCTAGAGCTCCAGGGTCACTGGAACTTCAAAACACATGCCAAGAGCAGCACAGCACTGCCCCAACATTGCTGCCTCCACACCTTTCTCCTTGGCATCAACCGTGTGCTGGCCACCTTCACCTCAGCTCATGCTCCTTTTACTGCTAACTTAGGGTTAGTGTTATGCTTAGGTTTGGTCTTGGTGTTTGGTTTATGCTTTAAGAAAACCACAAAGCGTACAGCTCCAGGAATACTGGAATTTTAAAAGCAGAACTTGCTTCTACAGATGCTCATCATGCTCAATGGCCAACACAAGGCAGGGCAGGGGCACGGAGCTCCCTTCTTCTCTCAGGAGGCAATAACTGCTATGCTGAATCTCAGGAATCACCACAAGAAATCTCTTGTGTGTAGGACTGGGACATGCTGAGGCTAGGACTCTCCCACAACTGTCCAGTTCCAGGATGATGCACAAGCTGTTGTTCATTCCACACAGAGAAACTGCATCCCAGACTTCCAGCCCTCCTGCAACCCAGTCCTGCTCCATCCTGGAGCTGTTCCCTCAACAGGGTTCATAAATTAGTTAAAGACTGTGGGCTCCCAGGATTGGACTTGGTGTCTTCCACTCTGGTAGTAATGCATGGGAGATAGCCCTGGGATACAGATACCTGGAGACCAGAATGGAGCAAATCTGATACGAGCTCTTTATGCAAACACATTTTCTGTGATGGATTCAGACTTGTCAATTTAAAATGCTTTGGCCTAATAGGGACATATGCACTGACCATTGTTTGTTTCCTGACCCATTGCATGACAACAATGTTTTCCAGTGCCTACGTGCACAGATTTCACCCTCACTGTGTCACCTTGCACTTTCACTTCCTTTCTCATGGTTTCTGGGGACAAGGCTCTTTAAAAGGCAATGTTAAATTTTCTGCTTTCAGAAGGACCTCTCTGATGGCAATCTTTCAAATTTCTATTCTTGACTGCTCAAAGTTGAGCCAAGTGGGAGGGTTAAGAAGAATTCTGCTACAATTCATCTAACAGGCTTCCCAAATTTCCATTTATTAAATAGTGTATTTAACATTGTTTATGGAATCTGAATTACAGGGGCAGATCTCATGACTAAGAAGATTGCACATGGAATACAGCATCAGTAAACAGGCTGAATAGATCTTGAAAGAGGGGAAAAACAACTGTATTGAAGCAGAAGGTAACCCTCAAGCCTTTAGAGAAAAGCAAAAGTACTTAGCTAATAATAAGTAAAAATAAAGAACAGCAGAAATTTAAAAAAAAAAGTAAAAGAGGAGGGCAAGAGGAAAATGCATGGACAAGGAGAAAAATTTCTTATTTTTTATCTTTTCAGCCTCTGAAATATTATTGCATCCTTATGGCTCACAAAATTCTCTGTAGAGAAGAATTGTATTGATACTCTCAGTTCTCAGCTTCAGTCTGCCCTATTCTGCCTTTAATGCTGCTTCCACAGTATCAGAAAAGATCTCAGCAAGTTAAATGATACAACCAGATCATGAACCCCCAGCAAATGTTTGCATGCCTTTCAGACATCCTGCAAACAGCTAGTATTTGAGTCAAGCATTTCTGCCACATTCTACTGGAAGTCACAAGGAAATGTTTTCTTAATATCATCTCATGAGATGCACAATGAGACAAGACATGAGACAAGCTATTGTGCAATTGCAGCCTTACACCAGGATTGCTCGAAGCATGGCACAGGGAAAAAGGGCCTATTTTTTGACTGTAGTGGGAACTCACACACAGAAGAGATGGGGATAAAATAGCACAGAAGTTAAATCCTTTGTTGTATTGCTGCTTTCCTCAAGTGGATCGCATCAAGAGCATCTCTGCTTGGTTGCTGTGAAAAGTACTGTTACAGAAATCTGCCTTTTCACTAATTTCATTTTAAAAATTGTTCCTAGCATTTGTTTTCCATCACAAACAGTCTGAATCTCTCCCCATTCCTTGAACCAAATCTTTATGTAGTTTCTGGTAGACTTAGGTGACCCTTGGAGCCATTCCTCACAAACATTTCCAGAATGGAAGTACTTGGTGAAGTACAGCCTGGAAGTACCTTTCCTCTCCTTCACTTGGTTTTAGACAGTGACCAGCCTGTTCCTGTACCTTTTGCACTAAGTATTTCTTGACAAGAAAGAGCTGGTCCTTTGGTGGACTATGGGGTCTCTGCTTTCTCCAGAAGTCTGGAGATACCAGCAGATCCTCAAAGGGTATCTGCCAGTAGGGCTTCTCTTGAAACCACTCAGGATTTATGAGACAACACTGTTCCCTTTGCTTCTTACCAGCTGGCCAGCAGTGGGTGAAGGCACAACTCAGATCTAGGTCACACGTTCACAGAGATTTCGGTGCAAATATTAAGAGGAGTCCTACACAGAATCTGTACAGGCCCAAACAAACTGAGCTGTCAGAGATACCAGCTTGCTCTGAGCTAACAAAGCCTGACAGTCAGTGTGCTCCTCCACAGCATGGCCATGGCTGCAGGACATCCTCCAGAAGAAAGGACATCACCCCAGTTCTGTATGAGCAACTCTTCAGGCTGCACAGGTATGGCCAGGCAGGAAGGCAAGGTCTCTGAACGTCTGCTTTAATAGCAAATCTCATAACTGTCAGCACAGGGGCCCTTGTGTTACAAACACAAATGAGTTTCAAGTTTTTAGCACCATGGATCTAAACAACATATGCCCGTGCATAAAAATTGCCTAGCTCTAGCACACTAGAAAAATGCTAGGTATAGGTTTATTATCAACAAAAATGCTCTTTTCTGCCTGAAGAAAGATCAGATGTGATGCAAATGGAAAAAAGGGCTTTTGAACAGAAAGGTGGGAGATTTTTTTCACTTCCGTCCTTTAAAAGAAACAAAGATGGAAAAAAGGTAATCCTAGTTTACTTCCCTCCTGTGTCATTGAATCATCTTGTCTTTCTGTCTTTGGACATAAGTACAAGGCTACTGTCTCACTGTACTTGTATGCTGTAGATTAAATTCATTGCATTGTTGATAGTAACTGGAAAAAAATTCTCCATCCATTAAGAATATCCTCCAAAGAAAATACATGTGTGCCTAAAAAAATAGAGATGACTCTTTGTAAATAAAAGCAACATTCAATTAGTTATGGGAGTCCCATCTAATATGATGAGGAAAAGGCAACTCAGAGGCCACATTGATACATGATATGTGATACACTCTGCTCTGACTTTGAAAGTAGGCCAGGTATGAGAAAAGAGAGAAGCATTTGTTATCAATCCTTGGGAAAAAACCCAATAAAATTAACTCCAGAATACTTGTCCTGCCAAGATGCTGGGCTACTTCTACTTCCACAGAATAGCTCCTATGTCTTTACCTAGCTACTGTCAGTCATTTAAGGTTGGTCATACCTCAAAGGCATCAGGACATCTTATTCATCAAAGCTCAAAATTTTGCATGCCAGTATTAATCCTGTTTCTCAGTTATGCTAAGTAGGTACTACATGCCATTGGACCTAAATCAAGGTAGAAAATTGTATTCGTATACATTATTGTTTAGGAAAGGCAATATTAGAGGTTAAATCATAGTATCTAGCATTGGATAATTAGCAGAATGGCACTAAAATGGAGAAACATAGAGTGAGAACAATTACTTAAAGCTGCCTATTAGCTTGGAACACACTAGTATTGTCAGCAAGACTTATCTTTACTTTCCTTAGCAAGACACCAGCTTTTTTTGCCATGTCATTCA